TTTTTACTCAGGTGAATAAAGCTATTATTCTCTGTAACAACATGTTGCGAGAGTATAAAAATAATGAATTAAATAAAAAATGTGTTGATCTCTCACCTATTATATGTCGCGCCTTTCAGTGAATTATAATATGGAAAAAATCGATGACCCGGATTTTGCCGGGACAAATATGGTCACCTAATTTTTTACGATTCGTAAATAGATTATACTCGTACTGCCGATAAATCTGAAACAATTGGGAAAACGTCAATCATTTGTCATCATTGTACAGCTTTAAAATTCAGTGGTGTTTCTGCAGGGCTATGTAGTGGTGATAAAGTAAAATTGTCACAAAAGCGTCCACCGTTGTTCATAGCAGCTAGTTATGCAGTTACAGTTCATCGGGTCATCTAGTAGCTTCTAACTATAAGGTTTGCGAACTTCTGGTTGACTTTATACTGTATACAGCGGTCAGTATGCAAGATATCGTAATGCAACTCAGAGATCATCTATTTCTGGTAATGATTTGCCGTGGTTTTGAAACTGGATAAAATCGTGTCAATCGTACCCTTAGCCCCATATACCTAACATAATCAGGGGTGTTGTGGAATCCTAGACCGGTTTGTTGAGTTTTCAGAATTGCTAAGCAATTTTGATTTTAAATAGTGCGACAGAATTTGATTGGATTTTCGTCTTTTCGAGCATACGCAGTTGTTTGCTAATGTGACAAAACTTGCAAATGAATAAATTTGAAACCAATTCTATTAAAGTTTACAATAAGTTCCGCTATTTTAGCTTTTGTTTTGTTTTGGAAGAAGACAGCAATAAACAAATTAAAAGGAAATTACACTTGCATTCACATTTACTTGTACGAGCTTGTATTTGAATACATGTTTATTTTACAGATTTGTATTACATTACCATCTGAATAAAGACGCATTTGTTATGGTGTTAAGTTACATTTATTACGTCTTGTAAATCCTCCTTAAATATCTGCACTTTTTCCATAAACCCAATATCTATGGCATTTTGTGTTTTATTCTTATGTTTTTCCTTATAGAACTAAAGATAACAATAAAATAAATTAATTTTTTTAACATACGTTTCAAATCTATCCGCGACTATCTTCTTGTTTTGTTTCGGATAACAAAATCAATAAAATTGGTTTCCCTGACACCCAAACCCAATACAATTTCTGTTTCGAACGTCAAAATAATAATATCTGCATTCATTACACCAACTAAATGACTTTCAAACATCCGCTTGACTTTACACCTTACACATATATTGATCAATCTGCGTGGTATCTTAATGAAACTTAAAGAGTATATACAAGTATTTCTGGTAGTGATATGTCATAATGTAAAACTCGGATGAAATCCGGTTAATGTACCTAGCTCCAGTAAAACTTATATAAGAATTTCAAGCTTCAAACTTGGATAAAATCGGGTAAATATCCCTACCCACTATATACCTTATAACTATAAGAATTTCAAACTTCAAATTGGCTTTATGCCGTACATAGAGTCAATATGTAAGATATCTTAGCAAAGTTAAGTGAACGTTCAACACTTTATGTTTTATAGTTTATTGCCGTAAATGTATTAAATTGGTCTATGTATGCTATATATACATATAATGATTTTTGTTATTATATTAATATTGCGTGAAAATATGTTATGTTGTCGAGCATACATATGTATGAACTTGACTAATACCAAAAGTTAATGTAATCAATCCAAATGTTCCCCTAGCTGCAATATACGCGATATAGTAGTTTCCACTCATATTGACTTTCCATCTGAATTTAAATCGCTTATGTTGGTCAAATTGTGTAACAATTTATTGAAATTAAATTAATTTTTCTTAATATAAATATTTCGAGCAACCAATAGTAGTTATGAAGCTTCGCGAGTTATAATAATAAAATAGCAAATTTCATTGTAATCTATTGGGTTTCTTCAAATAATATAATATTTGTTGAATTCTTACAAAACATTTTTTGATACAAAGTTTTGTCAACACCTGAAAGTATTTCCCCGCCTTTGATCTTTGCAAATTGTGAGAGTATAAAATGCTCGGTTACACCTGAACTTAGTCTTTCCCTACTTGTTTAAAATAATAACAATTATTCTGTTTTATTATATATGGTCTAGTAAAAACAATCCATTATATTTGTATTCAATTGAAGGTTTTATTTAGCATAATTAGAACTATTCTATTTAAGTCAAATATGCACCATTTTGTTTGATAACTTTTTGACATTTTGTAAGTTTCTCATAGAAACCCTCGTCCCTATTCGCAAAAAGCTGGGAGAGTCGATTTCCACAAGTTTCTATTACGTCACCAACAAAAATAAAAAATCCATTTACAGGAACAGGTAGTAATGACTTGGTGCCAAGTCCGGGCTATAAATTTGGGATAAGAACCTTCCAACCAATCGCCCAGAGCTTCTGGCGATATGTGCGGCCTGGTGTTGTCCGACCGTTTTCGCTTGACAACAACGTTCATCACCAGTAATCATCTTTTTCATGGTTACTGGAAATACGGCTCATGAGGTTTTTTTGAGTTTGTATTCAATATCTATACTAATATTATAAATGCGAAAGTCCGTTTGTTTGTTAAGCTTTCACGCAAAAACTACTTAACAGATCATCATGAAATTTTGTACATATACTCTTAGAGGTGTCAGAATGAACATAGGATACTTTTTATTACAAAATTTATAAATTTTTTACGGATTATTAAAAAAATTATTTTGGAAGATTATATATGTTTGGAAAATAAATTTGAAAATTTTGAAATTGAAAAACAAAAGTTTGGCAGAAATGATTGTTTGTCGAAAAAATTAAAAATGAAAGAAAACATAAATGTATAAAAAACGTAAATCAGAGAAATAACACAAATATTATTAGTTACTCTTATTAAATATAAAAATGCCTCGAAAGCGGAAATCGGCGCTGTCAAGAAATTCTACGCCGGTGCGTAAGGCTAAAGTTACACGAAATAAAGAATGTGAAGTTCAAGCAGAGCTGAGAAGGCAACAGCAAGCAGATCGACAACGTGTTTTGAGAGCAGCTGAAACTTCTCATCAGGCACGAGTACGTTCGAAAAGCCAAGCTTAGCAGCAGGAAGCTAGAAGAGCAACGGAAACGCAAGAACAATTGCAGGCAAGAAGAATTAATGATGCAGAAGTAAGAACCACGCGTCGTCGTAATTTCATAACTAAGAATTGGAATATATATAAAATATATTCTTTATATGGATCCATATCTACTATAATGATATCAGTTATTTATTTGATGGATTCGATGCGAGCGAAGCCGCGGGTAAAAGCTAGTTATTTAAATAAATATCATTTAAATAATATTGAATAGCAATCTAGACAGTGCTTACGTAGCTGTCGGGTATTTTCGACAATTCTTTGACATCAAAATTGACTGGAACGGACCGGAAAGGAGACCCAAAAACCCGCTTTACAGCCGCTTTTATCGAAGAAAAATTGTAAAATATGGCGTGTTTTTTCTTTGCTGGTGTCCCGCTTTGACGCGTGCTTAAACAATTATAAATAATGAGCATCGGGGATATCTGAGAATACCCTCAGAAGTTTCATATAACCTGCAAATGCGACTATTACTGCGTTCACATGGGGACTCTTTTGACCCTCATATCGGAAAAATTCTCTTTTGGTGATCGCCCTGTGTGTTCACACGAGCAAAACGAGTCCAGCAACTCGATTCGAGTTTTTCTGTCATTGATTTTCATAAAATTTTCGCAAATGTTTGTGCGATTTGGCTACGCGATGCTTAGAGTGTGCTGCATATTTCATTTGTATGCTGGTATGGTGGTCTCACATTTTGCTTGCAATGAATTACCATGAATGTGGTAGAACAATATGCATAATACCCGCTTAATAGCTCCAAAGAAATACTGAATCCATGAATTTCCTAATTCACCAGAATGTATTGAATACCCGCTACTAATATTTTCAAGGTTAAATAAATAACAGGAATTTCCTAATCTTTTGGGAAGAATTAAAAATCCATAATTGCTTTACTCCATATTTTTTTTCTATTTATTATAAAACATCCTTGAATTAATTACAAATGCTTTAAATAAAATGATATCGAACTAAGTCTTCTGCGGTTTAAAGAAATAAATATGAAAGCATCCTAATATTTTATGTAAATATAAAAAAGTTAAGTAAATAAAAACAAATAGTATATATTCATTTGAAACCGAGCGCTCTTACAACCATAAAAAGAATTAGAAAGTGAAAAGTAATGCTGCAAAGGGTAGCAGCGAGCTGTTACGAACAAGAACACAGAGCGTGCCACTCGTGCTCGGGTCCCTTCGTCTTTCCTCACCGTCGCCTCGCCCACAATAAACCGGTTTGGGTTACAAAAGAGTGTGTGTGTGAACTGGCACTATTACTACTTCTTCTCAAAAAACATCTTTACATTTTAACACATCCTGTGGTATCTACAAAAGCTAGTATTACTTTCGATATATGCAAAAAACATAGCAACACAAAATAAAAGCTTAATACAGCAGAACAGGTTCTGCCAACGACCTCTTCATGAAGATGTCAGCCCCTATAAACTACAGAAATTTAGGTAAGAAACAAATACCCATATGTTTACAACTCGATTTTGCAAGTAAGTTATATTATCATGGTAATTTTTTCAAAAAACATACTTTTGAGAAAAACGCATTTGAAGTTTTATACTCTTACTGCTATTTACATCAAATTTTCAGAGAATATTCCTTTAACAAACATTTCCACAAGAGCATACGAAGGTCTTCTTTTCCTGTTATATTAAAACTATTTAAAACTCGCCGATATCTACAATTCCTATATATGCTCAGAATGTTTTAAATAAAATGCGAAGTCACTAAACAGGACAACGCCTCGCAAACATCTTTTTTCAGAAAGTGCATTTCCGTCACCTAAAACTAATCGAGATAGAGGTGATCTATATCGAGGTTCACTACTTTGTCAAAGAACAAAACACAGAACATTCAAGTTTAATGGAAATGTTTATTATCTTTCGTTAGAACATTCTTTGGAATTTATTTTTTGAAGACTATCACCTCAAATATTGGCCGCGGCTACGTCTCAGATGGTCCATGCGTTGAGTCCAATTTTCGATGACTCGTTCTAGAAATTCGACTGGTAACTGGTGAATGCCCCGCGTGATGTTTTGCTTCAAGGCCTGAACCGAAGCAGGATTATCTGCATAGAGAAGTGTTCTCTCAATAATTCCATTGATTGATGCGTTGAGTGGGAAATGACGCCGTCTAGTTGGAACTAAATGTCGCCGAGATCACATTGAGCCAGCTTCATCGCTGAATTTGGGTCGAAAACGTCGGATCTTCTTGGAACTTTTCAAGAGCCCATAGAGCGAAGTGATGTCGCTGGTGAAGTCGAGCGCACTTCAGTTCCATACCAAATAATATTGAACAGCCTGACACGACACACGCGTGATCTGTTAAAAAAAAGGCAATTGAAAAAAGTACCTCTACTTGGTTCACCCGTTATATAAATGATCAGGATAAAGAGACGAGTTGAAATCCGGGTGACTGTCTGTCCTTCCGTCTGTGCACTCTGTAACTTGAGTAAAATTGAGGTATCATAATGAAACTTGGTACACGTGTTCCTACCCCCCAGCCCCCCAGGTACCGAATATGTGGACCCCAGTTTCTATTGCGAATTTTGTATTGAAAATATCGGTCACTCTGTGAGGTGTATTATAGAAACTCAGAGATAATCCTTATCTGATAATAGTATACCTGTATGTGAAAAATTGATTGAATCGGATCACTAATTACCTTAGTCCCCATAAATCGGGGTTTCCAATAAGGATGATATGATTTCTAAGCGTCGTCTCGGCCATTTTTAATGTGCCATGATCTGTAATTTTTTTCATTATGACATTACATTACTGAATTACAATTTCATCACGGAAAGATATACGCAAGAAGAACGTTTACAAATTATTCAATTTTATTATCAAAATAACCGTTCTCCAATTGCAACTTTTCGTGCGCTTTTGCCATTTTTTCTTTATTTTTTTTCCGATGCCACAAATTATTAATGAACACCCCTTACATTTACCTAAATAGACAGTTTGGTTTTTAGTCTGGTGGAGTCACCGGTCCGTACTTCTTTCGAAATGAAGCTGGTGACACCGTTACTGTCAATGGAGAGCGGTGTAGATCGATTAAAACCAACTTCTTAGGGCCGCAATTGGTATCGATTGTATTTTACATTAAATCAAATTTAAATTTCTTTAACATTTAGTGTGTTTGTTTTTGAAAAAAATTCATATCACTCTTATTGGAAAACCTTTTACCTAATACTAAAATTTTCGGACTTCCGGTGGACTTCATAACGCAAATATCGGTCAATATGTGAGTTATGAAATTGAAAAAGAGTGTTTTTTTAATGATAATGTCTCTTTGTGCATAAAATGGATAAAATCGGCTGAAAATTTGTCCTAGCCCCATATATCTAATATCAGGACTTACAAGCATAAAGTTGACTTTACTCCTTATAATAATAGTAATGCTATGTACTTAATGAAAGTCAGAGATCATCCTTTTCTGTTAATAATATGTGGTAATGGCAAAAAGCGGTTCAATACTATCCCTATCTATCATATACCTAATATCAGAAAATACGTGATATTGAACTACGAATTACCCAACCCTCCACTTACTACATATAATGATTTTCTTTATTCTTATATGGGTCAGAGTATAAGTTATATATTATATTTATAAAATTACTTGAAAACATTTTTTTGAATATACCTGAACAATGGTATATTATATACATGGTTCCGAATATTTTAATTCAAAAATTTTGCAATAAAAATAAAATTTTCATTATTTAATCCCGATGGTATTTTTTATCCAAAATTTTTAATTCTTGAATAAATTGTGAAAACTTAACCGTTTTTATTTAATGAATTATGTTCTTTATTTGAAATAACTTATAAATTAATAAAGAAGATGTTGTTGTTTTTAAGTTATTGCGGTCACATTATTGAGTGCTTACTTTTACAACTATTTGATTTACTTGTTTCAACAGTAATTATTTTATAATATGTATATCTGTACGTATAATATATACATATATATATATATATATATATATGTATATTATTCTTATATATTTATGCTTATTTAATTGTATTTTATAATCTATATTTATGTATATCTGAATATTATATAAGCATATTTATCCTTAACTACCTATTTATAAACATATATATATCGTCACCTAAAATACAAAGTAACGCAGCAACAGCTAACTTATGAAAGTTTACATTAAGTGTAAAAAATTATAAAACATAATATAACATAAAACTTAAACTATTTACATATATTGAAACAAAATTGGAATTTCGGTTCTGACTTGGTTATATCTGATAGTACATATGTAAATATATGTAATAGGTTATGCAGTCTCTCGTCACTATTTGAGACATGTTGAAGTAAAGTCTCAATTTGTGACAAGTTACGATTCACAATAAAATGTCTAATCTTTAGTCAAAAAATATTGTCTTAAAGTTGGCACCTGATAGTATCGCAAAAGTAATGATAATTCTTGTTTTCCATTTTGAATATACTGACATTTCACTTATAGATCAGCATAGATAATAATAGATCGTCGGTTTTTATATTTTTTAAGCACCTCAAACACGTAAAAGTTAAAAAAAGTCAATTTCAAATAAATTTCGTAACTATTGTGATTCAAAGTCAACCTTTTATATTTTTTATTCGTAATTATTTATTTTTACTGCGTTATAGAAAATTTATATTTGTTATTAACATGTTTATTTTCATTCAGGTTTTATACACATCTCTAAATAGCGAAATGTAACAGCTGATTAGATCTGTTCGTTTTCAATTGGGAAATTTTTGTGACTGTCACGTACTGAATTGCAAAATCGTCTCAAGTCACATAAATTTTCTACTTTAAATACCCAAACTTAGAGACTTGTGACTGTATCAAAGTACTGAATTCCGATATTAGACTATTATGTAACACGGTTTTGTGTTTTTTGTTGATACGTTGCTTTGCATTTTAGGTGAAGATATGTATGTATATTTAAACGGTAATATGAGTATGATATACATATGTGTATAAGTAGTCATCATTAATCGAAAAATTGTTTGTAAATAATTCATTTAATTAATTATACAACCATTACATACAACTTGAAATTGAGGCGAATATAAAATTACATTAATTATTGACTTTACATATTTAACTTAATTTTCACTACATTAGTATACATGTACATTAACATTAAAATATATATGTATATATATTTAAATACATACATAATATGTATACTTATGAATACACATATGAGTACATATAAGGTTTTAAACATAATGGTAATGGTGAACAGTATTTAAAAGTTATATTGGTTTTGGTTTAAATACATGCATGTATGAAACTATCTAATTGGCAACTTAAAGACTATATATTTATTTTAATTAAAGTATAAAATTATATAGCTGTGTTTGCACATATTATGTTTCAATTGAGTATACCTACATAAGAATATATTGCGCCCCTATTTGTACGGCTGGGAGATCTTTAATATTTTATAATTTGAATTCTTTGACTTATGCTTATTTTTATGTAGCTATACATTGTCGGATTTTAAAATTACTGCTGAATTAACTAAAAATTGTATAACTGCGTTTAATTAGATGATTTTATAAATGAGACGCATACATACATAAGCACAAATTTTCCACAACTCCATGCATATAATTTTGTAAGAATATAATCAATTTACTCTTTTAACTAAACTCACTACGTTTTGTGACAAAAAATAGTTATAATGAAAAATATATATATTGGAAGAGCGGGATTTCAATGGCTCAGTTTCATTAATAAAAGTATTACCCAGCAAATTATAAGTCACATTTGTACAGTTCGAAGTAAAAACTGGATGCACTAGTGTGTAGCAAAACTCTGGGTAATACCCTGCTAGGCACTTATGCCCAAACATTTGAAATAAAAAAGCTATTATTTGCATTAATTAAATGGCCATACACGTTCATCGACTCGACAAAATATATATTTCATATATAATTCAAAGGATAATATATTCAATTGAAATTAAAAATACCGTCATATGCTGTACACTGTATTTTAATTTCGCTTATTCAGGATAAATTATTATGTTAACTATTTTTATTATTGTTATATTAAGTTTTATAGCACTCTAAAGTAAATAAAATTGTTATTTTTTAGTTTACTTATAAAGAAAACTTAATTAATGGAAGCATTTAAATGATTAGATATCAAAGAGTTGCACATTTTTAAACATAAGGTGTCTAAAAATAATACATACCAAAATTTCTTTTTTCTATTTTTATCAACATTTCTTAAGTGATCCCTGTAAACATAAACAAAGATCTTGCGGCAATATACAAACACAAATACTTTCAACAATTAAATTAACAGTATTGCTTTTGTAAAATACTACCAAGCTGGAAATAGTCAAGCATACTGTTTTTGTAAACGCAACAGCAACAGTGGAATAGGTTCAGCAAAGCTTTATTGCGTGCACTTTTCGGAAATGCAAGTGCACTGCCGATTTAATAAATGACGCATGTATTAGAATTTAAATATTTTTAGACGCATGATTTGCTAAATAAATGGTGCTTTTGGATAATAGTTAACGAGCAGACTTGAATTTATTAATTTTTGTCGCATATTAGAAACATTTATTTTTTTATCGAATTTATAATTTTTCTGCCACATATTAGTAACATTTAATTTTTTTGTTGCATATTAGAGACGTTTGTTTGTTTTTTGTCGAATTTACACTTTTTCTTGTCGCATATTAAAAGCGTTTATTTTTTTGTCGAATTTTATAATTTTCTTGTCGAATGTTAGAAAAAGTAAACTTGTTAGTTATAAAACAAGGCGTGCTTTTTCCAAATACTAAAATACACTTTATTCTTAACGAGCAGCGTTGAATTTATAATTTTTTTTTGTCGAATAATAGAAAATTTTATTGTTTGTCGAATATAAGAAAAATTAAACGTCCAAGGTTTAAAAAAAAGGCGATTTCATCAAAGAAGTATTTAGCATGGCATAAATTTTCCAAATAATATAATAATTTTTGAAGTTGAATTTTAGATTTTTTTTGTCAAATATAAGAAAAATTAATTTTTTCTTTTATTAAAATTTTTTATGGAATATTAGAAAAATTAAACTTATAAAGTTCAATAGAAGGTAATCTTTTTTTTTAAATACTTTAAGTATATCGAAACGCTTCGTTAGCAAATATTTACAATAGTACTAAATTTTTGAAGCTGTTTTAACAGAAATTACGAATGTTCCTTTTATAAATGTTTACTGTTGCAATTTAATATTTGTACTTATATGTGAAAGCTCTCTTGTTCAGTTTTCTTTCTAGAATATATGGCATTTCTTGTACACATATTTAGTATATACATAAATATATAATTTAATTTTATGACTTGCAAATGGATTGATTAGCCGGCAATGTGCATAAATCTAACATATGTATGAATGCCTTTACGGATTCGTTACAAGGATAATGTTGAAATATTTGATGTACATTTTCTTCCTACACGTAAGTACTCAATAAAATGTTTAAATTTGACACAATATTTCCATAGCATGACATATGAATAAATAGGTAGCGTATACTAAAGACGCATATATTGCACGTACGCATACATTTACGTCTAACTTAACAATAACACATTAGTTCACACATGACATAGTAGTTTGGTAATTAATAATATATTATATAATATTTACTTCGAGACAAAAAGAAGAAGAAAAATCTTGAACTTATTTAAACTAAATTTAAGTAAATATACTTACTTAAGTAAATATACTTGTATATACACATATAAATTTAGGCGAAAATAATTGAGTGGAATTTTCAACGCTATAGAATGCTAAAGCGTTATGAAAACAGAGCCGAAACGCAGTGTCATGCCATGTTAAAGGGTGAAAAAGGAAAACTATGATAAAACCAGAAAGAATGTTAACTTCGGTTGCACGAAGCTGGAATAATCTACACAAATAAAGAAGTTTTCAAACAAGAACTTGCTTTTGATCGTTTCGATCTGGAAAATTACATTGCATATTATAGCGTTGTCGCAGACAACAATCCATGCTAAATTTTGTGGAGATTTCTTGGCAAATAAAAAGTTTTTCATATAAGAACTTAATTTTGATCGTTCAGTTTGTATGACAGCTATATGCTATAGTAGTCCGATATCGGCGGTTCCGACATATCAGCAGCTTTTTGGGGAGAAAAAGACGTGTTAGAAATTTCAGAGTGATATCTCAAAACGTGTGGGTTTCGTTCGCGTATACTCGTATACAGGCAGACAGACATGGATAAATCAAGTCAGCTCGGCAGGCTGATCATTTATATATATATTTTTTATAGGGTGTCCGACGTTTCCTTCTAGGTGTTGGAAACTTCGTGGTAAACTTAATATACCCTGTTCAGGATATAAACACACGGTACAACTTTAACTTTACCACTTTGTGTGTTTACACTTCTGTGCGAATAGTGAACATTTACCACAGTGAAAATGCACTTAGTGCTAGGCTTTCCTTTGCTCCTTCCTTTGAATTTGATCTCACACGCCAAGTACAGTCATATTCGCCGATATTTACTAACTTGGTTAAACCAAATTTGAGATTTAGTCTGCTGTTAGACACACCGGCATAAGCATACATACAACCGTACCTAAACGGATCATGTGAAAAATATGTACATATGTATCAAGGTAAAACTTGTAATTTCTATTTTTTGTTTGCACACCTTAATAATTTTAAAAGTATGCTGCGTTAATGTACATTTCCAGGTAGTTTTGTACACTAAATGTCATATTCCGCTGTACAGTACAATACATAGCTGTATATCAATACTTTTATATTCCATTTTTTTTTTATATTTATACGCAATTATTCAGTGAGAACCAATGCAGTATTGCTAATGCACAAATAAATATTTTCACTTTTCTCTTGTGCATACGAAGGCATCACTATGCAAGGTTGTGGTTGGTTCATTATAATTCGCTTATACATATACAAAAATGCATTTAAAATTAATTCTTCACAACACACATTGCATTACATTTTATCTTATAATTTAATAATAACATACATACGTACATACATGTAAAATATTGAATAACTATTAACTATTTATACTTACTAATATGGTTGTTATAACTACACTACTTTAGTTACATTAATTTTTAATTCTAATGAAATTCTTGTAATCCGTTTTTAGCTTTAATTATACTTCTTTGTTAATATGTGTACATTAATCATTTATTAGTGGTAATTTATACATACAACTAATAGATAGTAACAGTCTTTTAGTGAAAATTGGCAATTATCGATACATTTGCTTTCACAACTCGCCTTAGCCACTATTTCTATTATATATATATGTTTAATTATCATTTAACGATTTTTTCGCTTAATTTCCTTCGTAGCTGTTCATTAAACCCATACCCATGTACATACATAAATATGCGCTAGTCTGCTTACATACATACTGTATATGCTTTGTAATTTATATCTTGCCTTCAATGCCACTTATCAATATTACATTTTGCTTTGCTTTTTTTGCTATGGTGAGTTGTAAATTGTTGTTACTAGTGATTGTTGCCACTGTTTCTCAAATTTATGCTCACACTCTCTCAAAATCTTTTTGGTATAGATAACTCGTAATTATTAAATTTCTTAATGTTATTTTATTATTATAACATGCTCATGTTTTCTGTACAAACCCAGCGACTGACATATCGAAGGAATACAGCTTGTAAGTTTTGTAAATCCATCCCTAATTGCAGTATTATAGAAGTAATGTTATAATAAACCGCAAAAGTTACTGTGATTTGTACATATTTTTGGTCTCACCCTAAGATATGAAAATTACTTTCAAATGCGGTTAAAAGGAAATATACTAAGTAAAGTAAAAAGTAAAAAGTAAAGGTCATATATTTTCCAAGGAAGTTGTATGCAAGTAGAAGTAAATCAAAATTTGAAACAATGAATAACGTTTTCTAAAAAAAAACTACACACTAACCAAAGGATTTCTTTGCTGAAATTTTGTCTCGATTAAAATAATTTTATACTAAGTTTAAAGTTGCTTGGCAAAAGTAGCAGCAATTAAAATATTGTTTTTTTCTTTGGAGGGGAAGAGGGGGATAGAAATAAAATAATTAACGACTTTTAAATAACTTTGCGCTTTTTATCTTTTTAATTATATGTAAGCAACTAAACAAGTTATTAATATATGGACATCATTTACGTTTTCCTCTTGTTAAAATTGTGTATAACATTGCATGATCAACATGCTAAAATGGTTCAAAGTCGTATAGCCAGTATTAATAATTTATTTAATACATTTTTTTTCGAATATCCGCTTGTGACCCCTTGAAGCATATGTCATAACTATAATACAAGCTTGACCGAGAAATGCTATCGAATTCTCTGAGCAACAGTCATATACATGTATGATCCTTCTTTGTAACTTGTATACATTCAAAATTTTCAGCTTAAGTTAATGTTTTATTAGTCGGCATTTTACGTCCATTTTTAGGTTTATGTTTCATATTTATGCTAGAAGCAAGAAAATCTTCTAAATTTAAAACAGAAAACGTGATATGATATCTTACATATATTTTTCCACTCATTGTTTTTAAAGGTTCATGTAATCTCGAAATGTTAAATTCTATTCTTATATTTTTATTTATCGTTGTGTAAATTTTATTTGTATTATTCAACCAACTGTTTTTATTCTCTCATTTTTTATTGATTTTTCATTCATTTTTTGTTTAAATGCTTAATTAATTGTTATTGTTTCTTTAATTTTTTTTTACATAAAACTTGACAAAAAATATATGGCGAAAATGTGGCACAGTTTATGTTTTGCATTATATTGTTTATGTTTCTGTTTTAGAGATACTATCGCAACATTGTCTAGTTATTTCATCTTAAGCTACAAATAATATTCATACCAAAGCTTATTTTTAAATTTTCTCATTTGTTTTTCGTATGACTAAAACTTAAATTTTTTTTATAACCTGTATCAAATTGGGAAGGTAGCGAAAATTGTTTGTGTACTACAATTCCGATATGTGATGTGAAATAAATTGGTACAACTAATCAAAAATGGTGTGGGTGGTTGTGATATGGTATACGTACATATGTACATGCCCAATTATGTGCTGTTGCGTATTTAATATGATTTGTTTTTTAAAAAAAGTATGACAAAATACATATTTGTTGAAATTTATAACTATTCCTTTATACCTGTAGCTTATGACATCTTCAGCATCATTTCTTTTGAAAATAAATTCGTTTAGAGTTTCGGTCAAGTCTATCATTAAGTTTCTTTACAATAATTTTTTAAAAGTTTTAATGTATTGTTTTAATAAATACTTTCGTTATTAAAGATATGAATTCATTCAATATATATATATATATATATATATATATTACATATACATATATATGTATATATCTTGGTCTTTTTGTAAATATATACTGTATATATCATAACCCAATCAACTGCACTACATAAACAAGGTGTGTGAATTTCTTCATGTCATATCCATTTTTTTACACACACTAATGTGTATAGCCAATGTATATAAGTAGTATACCTATATATAGTTACATATAACAGGGCTTCTCATAGAACAATTTGCTTTATTGAATTATCCGTGTATGTACTTTTGCAATAATATTTTGTCATTTGTATTACTGAATGTTGAACCCGACGCCAGGTACTTTATATTTAAAACCAAATATATTTACCACTTGCTTTTTTAAACGTATGACAATATTAGGATATGGCAAATGATATGTGAAGAGTTTTTACATATTAGTTTTGGCGAGAATGATAATGTTTGTCATGTAAATATATTGTTAGTTCATATAATATATTATAAACATTCACTCAGAACTTTATAAAAAAGGTATGTGTACATATGATTTTACTTATAGATACCGAACAATTGAGTTAAAAGTTTACTCTTTCGGTCGGAATACATCCCTTCCAATTTAATTTTTTAGTGACATATGCATAATTAAATAAGTTTACAATACATTTATCGCTTTTGAATGTTTCGCCAGCTATATGCTACAGCAATCTGATATAAACAATTTCTTCGGATATTACATCATTGCCTTAAGCAATAGCCCATGCAAAATTTCGTGAAAATATCTACTCAAATGGAAAAGTTTTCCATACAAGCGCTTGACTCCGATTACTCAGTTTGTATGGCAGCTATATGGTATAGTAGTCCGTTATCAGGGCTTCCGACAAAGCAGCATTTTCTTAGGGAGAAAAAGAAATATGCAAATTTTCTGATCGATATCTCAAAAACTGAGGCATGTATGTATCGACAGACGGACATAACTAAATCGACTCAGCTTATCACGCTGACTTTAGAGGATCTCTGACGTTTCCTTTTGGGTGTAACAAGCATCGTGACAAACTTGATATACCCTGTTCAGGGTATAATAAGTTTACAAAATATTCGGCAATATATTGATGGCTTTTGAGTGTTTTGGCTATATGTTTTAAAAATTATTATTAACAAAAATGTGTCAGCAATTTCATTAATAATACAGGGAAAACTTATAGAGATAGATTACTGAAAAATTTTAACCGCATCTCGACTGGCGTATTCGCCTATAGTACTTTAAATAAGTAATAGCTGTTTTCGATTCGCTAAGTGTTACTCTCCCGCGAATCGAATAGGCTATATTAAAAGCTCAAACAAACGGGTAGCACTTGTGGCGGAACCCTGTGTTAACGTGTTTTCTGACGAATGCGCAATAGTGTTAGAAGTCTTTCTTAGTGAAGAAATATTTTTTAGCGCTAAAAATCTATGCAGTAACCCTTTATCTTTGTTTTTTATAAATTACTATATTTGATTTGAAGTCTTAAGTTTTTAAAATACAAGATAAAAAAATAAATTTGTATTTTCATTTGTCATTTGAACCATTCACAATAGGAAAACTAATCTAAAATGCAATGCAAAACAAAACTTGGCAGGTATCCGCATACTCTCTTGTGTAAATTTAACTCGATAACTTTGTTCTTGCTTTTGCATGCGGCTTACTCGGCGCCATACTTGCTTATTCTTGTAATACTCATACCCATAAACTATTAAAATAAAATATAACGAAATTAGTAATAATACGTTTTCTTTTTATGTAATTGCTATTGAAAACGCTGACATGCAACGAAACTGCATTGATATCACCGGTTTGCGGTGTGGTTTTCTGCTGATGCCGTTACGTTACTCTAATTGCTCCATTTTCACTGCCGGAAGCGCTTGTTTTAACATTAACAATGACTGTGTTGTCAACAGCCACCACTGGCAGCGTCTTCGTCGTTACTGTTGTTGTAGCTGACATAGGCATCGTTGTCGCTACTGCTGTCTCTGTAGGATGGCATTTTAATGCTGTCATATTTTCGACGCTCTCTGTGTATGCCTTATTCTCAGTAGTAGTTTCTATCGCTTCAACTGTTGCTGTTGTAGCTGATTCGTCTCCACCATCGTTAGCTGTGACATCGCATCTACTATTAGGTTGCATTTTGTTGTTGGGTTTCACAATAGCAGCACTCAATACATTGGGCATGTGAACGGTCGCTGCAGCCGCCGCCGCTGCCACGGAAGCCAAGTGATGACTGAATTGTTGAAAATGTTGGTTGAACAATGGTGAATGTGCATGCGAATGGCGGTGGGATGCATGATGGTGCGTTGGTGGCTCAGTTGTCGTATGCAAATGGAATTGCTGCTGATAATGTTGTGGTATTGACGGCAATAAAGACGCCGTCGTCAACTGTCGTTGTTGAGGCGAAACAGCGGTGGAGGATATCCGTAAGGCTAGTTGTTTAGGTAGTTGTTGATTGTTATGCTTATATTGCTGTGTTGCGATCCCGTTAATATTGCTGCTGGATGCAATTGATATATTATCTAAGCAAGATGGATTGCTATTGTTGTCAGCCGTTACAACGCAATTTTTAAAATTATTATGACAACTAATTTTATTGTTATTGCTCGTATTTTCACTGCATTTCGTCAGCTGATTAATGCTGAGCGGGTTGTTGATATCATGTGGATTAGCGCCTATAGGGTTTCTTTGGATAGGAGCAACTATCTTTTCGAAAGTATCACCAGCAGGGGAAGACGGCGCAGACGAAGCGGACGATGAAACCATCGATTTTACCCCCGCGGCTGATATTGGTTTGACTGTGGTGCTGACTAACCGTGTCAAAGTAACTGCCATGGAATTATTTTCACAAACGCCATTATTGCCAGTGCTATTGGTAAAGGACGCATCGCTATTGTTATTGAAAGAAATAAAACTATTTAAGTCGTCATTAGCTCTATTGCCTAAGGCGTTGGAGACAGTAGGAAACTTAGCAACAACACTGGCTGGAGTGTTGGTAACAGTGCTGGTTGATAAATTATTGGTATTTGATAGAATATGTTCTATGGAAACTATAGCTCCTCCGCTGGATTCCAGCCCGCTTGGTGGAAAACAATTGTTATTCAGTAATAGGCCGGATGGACTAGGATTCAGAAGTGAACGCATGGTGCGTTCAGTGAAAGCAGCCGCCGTTGCCACAGCAGACGCTGATGATGAGGTATTTATTAGAGTGTTGCTGCTGCCAATACATATGCCACTGGAGCTGTTAGTTGGCAGAGATGGCGACATTAATGTGCTTCTGCCGACACCAACGCTGCCACTACACAGAAACGATCTTGCGGTTTTAGCATGCTCGTAAATACTACTATTATGGTGTGAGGATATGGTGTGCGGTTGCTGGTGGTGTTGCTGCAGAAGTTGCTGATGTTGACTTAAATGAATTTGATGTTGGCTCGATTGTTGTAGCTGCTGGTGCTGTTGCATACAAATTTGTTGTCCTGCCGAATCGATACCGCTATTCGGTTGTTGTAGTTGTTGCTGACTTTGTACATTCTGATCTTGTTGACTGTCAGCAAGTCCAAATGGCAGACCGACCGTTGCGGGCGTTGCAGGACTAGGGAGCAGATTTAATGGGCTAGCCATACTGGTGGACGGGCTCTGAAGACTAGACAAACCGCTCTGGCAGCCCGGACTAGATAGCGAATGATTCAGCGATTCGGTATCATCGTCTGGAGTTTTGTTGTTGTCATCAATACTATCTAGACTACCCAGATTATCTTCACTAGCATTATCATCCAGATCTTCCAAATCCTGAAAGCTATCATCTTTAGTGCCACTGCTGACAGCACTGCCGCTCAATCCTTCCATATAGCGTATGCATTTCTTTTTACGCCTGAGCATTAGATTGAAAATGAGACATAAAAACCCATAAAGAAAGAGAAAAAGTAAATAATTAATAATTGGAAGTTATTAGAGACACACATACCAATGCAAATTTACAAATGAATTAGCGAATCGTATACACATATTAACTTATCTTTTGCATTTGTAAATATTTTCTTAATTTTAGAGCTTTATATGGTTTCTTATTTAGACTTAAATATTTTTTATGCAAAATTCGCTTTGCAAAGGTTTGTGCTTTTAATGAGAACTAATTATAGAACGTTCGTATATCTATAAATGCATACACACATATATATACATACATTTGTATATTATATACATTTAAAAACTGAAATATGCACATAAATAATTAATAAAACAAAATCTTTTAAAGCATTGCTTTGTTTAAAGACACTAAGTAAAAAAAGCTGCAAATACGCGTGCATCATGCGACATTTATAACGGTGTTTATTTAAAACCAATCTGTTTCCATAGAATGTTATGAATTACTTTGAAAACAATAAGAAGAAAAGCCAAAATTCCCAAAATACTATTGTTAAAAAGCTTAAATGCAAATCAAATCGGGGGTAAAACACACAATCGGACGTTCTAGCTGCGGGAAAAATTTCTAACCTAAATCGATAAAGTCACTGTGCAAGGCTAGCTATCCAAAAGAAGAAAGTATCAATATTGGAGTATGAATGATTTTACCAAATCCTGTCTCCTGGTTGGCTGAAAGTAAGACTGCAGTTATGTTTCAACTTCAGTCTTGCAAAAGCTGGGTAATGAAGGAGAAAGGGCCTGGATGCCTTGTTACATTTAAGAAAATGTAGCCGCTTGAGCATTTCAAGTGCTTTAAAAATTGGATCGTTAGTGTATGTGTTAAAAAATATAATAGCTATTCCAGAATAATTGAATATTGCACAAGTTGCTATAAAATATTGTCGCCAGTTTCACTTCAAACATGTTGCCTTTTTTATAAGCCAAATTGCTACAAATACGTAGTGCGTATGTGCGTTTTTTTATCTAGACAGGCAAGATTTTATCTCATTGCCATAACCTCATGCATTTTCTAACCTCAATTCTGCTTCAATAAAGACTCCCCAACGTACGATTACTTTGCTCAACCGAAATGTAATCCAAACAACTAACACATTTATAACATGACACTAAACAACGTCGAACATAGAAAGCATTTTTTGTTCAAACTGAATTTGTTTAACCATTTAACCGCCAGAAAAGGTATGGTTAAAGAAAATGAAAAGGCCTTAAAACTTAAGATATTATGTTTCAGGTGCTGGTTTATTATGCAAACCTTTAAGTTAGAGCTCTAAATATATAAACTATGATACGGCCTATGCATACTTATTTCCCTAAAACCATAAAGGTATTCCCGGCTTATAAATAGGTCATAAAGATCCAATTAACTCTTCTTAATTATAGGAAATATATTAAAATAGTCTAACGAGCTTAAGTTTTATAAAAATCAAAGGCACTTGTTTTGGGAAATTTTACTTTTTTTTTAGCTTTTTTGCATTGCAGACAAGTTGTTATTTTTAACAGAATCGGCCATTAGTTTAAAAAAGTGTGCAAAAACAACGTAAATTAAAAAAAAAACTGTAAGCATAATATATTTGCCTACAACAAATATTGATAATGTAAAATAGTAAAATAGTTTTTTCATATAATAGAAAAGATATGCAATGTGTTCTGCCATGGTTTCGCATTGATTAGAGATAAGAACTGGTACTACCGATTTGCTGGCAACATAAAAAACTGTATTGATCGGTATAGGAGGAACTGCTAAAAGCTTGCAGCAAAGATATGTAAAAGTAAGCAAACATTTCAGTTTAATCAATAATAATTTTTGTTAAGCGCATTGAAACGCAAGAAGAAGATTGACTACCTGTATATTTTTAATTCATAAACATAGGTATTGTATTTAGGGTTATTCCAATTTTAACGTTTGTGGTGGGCATACAATATGGCATAACTATCCTTGTGGGTCCTTCGAAATATAATCAGTGTTTTAATTTAAAATCATATACGCAAAGTAATCGATAAACAAGTATTAGTTCTCATTGGTAACCATGCAATTCTTCCAAACTCAACACAAAAATTAAAATAACCGAAATCATTTATTTCATAACATCAAGCATATTATAAACTGTGCTACAAAAACTAAAAATAGTGCATAAATTTTGCGTTTCGAAACAACATCCAAACAACAATTGCGTATATATAGATAGAAAAAATGACAAAATTAATTACTGTCCTTCAGGTGAGTTAATCCGTCTATACTTTTATGTGTGTGTATGTATTTGTACGTACATATGTACATAAATATTTGTATTGGAAAGCATTACGCAAAAGCGAATTTTTCTTGTATTTTCCGTTCTATAGTAAGTTCCACTCATAAAAAATATGTGTAAGTAAATAACATTTAAAATTTTAATAAAAAATAAAAATATATTAAGAACATACAACAATATCAATATACTTTTTAACATCAAAGGGACTACATGAAATTGGTATTATTGTATTTTCAGAACAAATATTTTAAATAAATATGGTATATATGTACATATTATGTATGTAGATACTTGATTACCCAGTGGGCTTATGGCATACCTATGCATGATATATATTTAGTTATAATATGATATTTTCTCAGGAGATCTTGATCTGTAAAAATCAAATAGAGAGAAAAGCGAAAGGAGTAAGGAATAATAACACAGATCTACAAAAACAAAAGTTTTGTTTTGCGCCGGTAATTCTATGTTATAATTTGGGTAAATAGCCACGAAATGTCGTGCAAGGCTGTCAAAAGATTTGAAGCTACGTTCAGGTTTTGTATCGTTCGATAATAACCTAAAAAAAATTTTCATCATAATGAATGTCATGATTATAATGAATTATTATATGTTTTTAGTTAATGATATCGATATGCCGTCGTCAAGATGGTATTGGGTAAATAATCCAAAAACCATTTGATAAACTTTCGTTAATATGTAGTGAAAAAGGCTGAAAACCAATAACAGATTCAGTAAAAAACGCACCTTGTAAAGTAGTATACATTTAAAACAGTGGGCAAATTATAAATTTAATATTTTAATAATTGAAACAAGAAAAAACGTTAATTTCGGCTGCATCGAAGCTGTAATACCCTTCGCAAAAAAAAACCGTTTCCATACAAGAACTTGATTTTGATCGAGCAGTTTGTATGGCAGCGATATGCTATAGTAATCCTATCTGAACAGTTTGTTCGAAAATTGTGCAGCTTCCTTGGACAATAAGCCATGCGAAAAGTGATTAAGATATCTTGTAAAAAAAGTTTTCTTTACAAAGACTTTATTTTAATCAATCAGTTTGTATGACAACTGTATGCTATAGTTAACAGATCTGAACAGTTTCTTCGGAGATTATACTCCGTTGTTTCGGATAATAATGCTTGAATCGTTCAGTTTGTGTACCATCTATATGCTATAGTGGTCCGATATCGTTTCGACAAATGATCAACTTCTTTGTGAGAAAAGGACGGGTACGAAATTTCAAAGCGATATCTCAAAAACTGAAGGGCTAGTTCGTATATGTACAGACAGACGGAGGGGCGGACATGGCTAAATCGACTTAGCTCGTCGCGCTGATCATTTATATATATACTTCATAACAACAAACATCGTGGCCAACTTATTATGCTCTCTTTAGGGTATAAAAATTGTCAACTTTCTATTAAGTCATTAAAATGGGTACACTAAATTTCCATGTATCATATGTTTAGCAGCAGAGAAAAAAAATATCACTGGTAACAAATCCGATAATTACAAAGAGTTAGTTCAAGACATTTTAATTTGCTTTAAAAAGAAAAGTACACTATCTGGCCAATAATTTTCAAAGCCCTGAAACTCTTGGTGCGTATAGCTATACCTAGCTCGCGGTGATGACCTAAAGACATCGATTGGAGCAAATCTAAAAATAGAAGCTTCTAGTTTTTAAAATAATGCATAATTAAATGTTTAAATTTATATGATTATTTTTTTGGTTTTTTTAATAAATAAATAAAATGCATTTTAATTTTTTTTTGCCCTTGCTGAATCTCGGAAACTACACGCAACATTAAAAAAGTAAGTGTCAGGTTTTTATCAGGGTACCGAATTTACTTGAAACCAGTTTACCTTTACCGGCATCAAAATCATTGCAGACCTGTGTAATCAATCCTTGATAATTTGAAACTGTGTCAAATTTAGGAGTTATATTAATTATATTAAAACAAAATTTATAACCATAAGGCCGTCGGGCAAAGACACATAACTATTCATGGCAACTATTTATTAACTCCTGTTTCAATATAATATATGATATTTATCCACTAGTAACCAATCCGTGAGCAATTACCTTATAATCAAATCTTTAGTAACGAAATTTACGAATTAGCTTTCCATATATATTAAAAGCACCATTAAGTCATACATAAGTACGTTTGTATATGATAGGAATCTTATCTGGAGCAAAAATGGCAATTAACTTAAAGGCTATTAGCAATTCGTTTATAATGCTTTTGTCGTACATAGCGACTAAAAATTTGTATGTTAACTGTCTTCTATTCGCCAAGCGTTGCAGAGTACTCAATCGAACAAACTATACGAGGTGCTCTAACAAACAGGCAGCACTTGCGTTTCGATTGTTTCTTGGTGGAGAAATTCTTCTCTCCGCCTTAAAAAAAAGTTTTAGTAACACCTTAGTTCTGTTTTCTATGAACAATTATTATTTATTTAGCATTAAGTTTTTAAAAACTATTTTAATTTTTGAGAATAGTTTGTCATTTGAGCCATTAACAATAGTAAAACTGACTTTAATATGCAAAACAAAACTTGGTGACATTGAAGATAGCGGTTGTACAAATTTAATGATGTATCCCCTTACTCTCTTGTACGAATTCAACTCGATAACTTTGCTGTTGCTTTTACACGTAATATTTTTGAAAAGAGAGCAGCGCGCGGAGATAGCGAG